GCCATCTTGGTTGGCAGTTAATTTGCATATTGCCCTGATTAGCCAATGGGAAGTGTGTTGGAGCTACGGTTAATTACCATGTTTGTCTATTATTAGATAGGATTTGCATCTGTATGTCCTCTTTGGAGAAGTGTCTGTTTAGGTCCTCTGCCCATTTCTTAATTGCATTTTTTGTTTTGTTTTGAGTTGTCTGAGTTCTTTATAAATTTTGGAACCTTTTATTGGATCTATCATTGGCAAATATCTTCTTCCATTCAGTAGATTGTCTTTTAGTTTTGATGCAAAAGCCTGATGATATATATCAGAAAAATAGTACTAAGAAAAATGTTTTCTTCTAGGAGTTTTATGGTTTTAGGTATAATGTTTAAGTCTTTAATTCATTTTAAGTTTAATTTCTTTTTAGAAAATGTGTTTTTATTAATTTTAGAGAGAGAGAGAGAGAGGGAAGGGGAGGGATAGAGAGAAATATCAATTAGAAAGAAACATCATCAGCTGGCTGCCTCCTGCATTCCCCCTACTGGAGATTGAGCCTGCAACCCAGGCACATGCCCTGACCAGGAATTGAACCAGTGACCTTTTGATTGCTGGGTTGACGCTCAACCACTGAGCCACACTGGCTGGACTATTTTGAATTTATTCTAGTATTTGGTATAAGAAGGTGGTCTAGTTTCTTTTCATTTCTTTTTTGGGGGGCATTTATCTGTCCAATTTTCTCAAAGGGTTTAAAGTTTAAATTCAGGTCTCTGGACTGACAGTTCCCTGTACTTGTTGCTGCACAGTGTTGCTGCCGTGCTATATTTAATGTATGGTATTCCAAACTTATGGTGTTCAGTGCATACTCTGGCTTGGGGAGCATCCAAACAGAAGACAGATGCTCTTGGGCCAGAGTACAGCCTCATCTTCGGAGGACAGCTATAGACCCGGGTCCTCTACCAGGTCAGTGTTGAGAGGGTTTGAGGACAAGCTCAATTTGCATAGGCTATTGTAGGTCATTTCTTGCTGTAGCCCTTGCTCTGTGTCCATTGTCAGGAATTGTCCTTTTTCACCACTTCTTTTTCATTATTGCTAGGCTTTTAGGAATTAAATACTATTTATTCCATCCCTAAAAATATTTTGACAACTCTTCACATTAACTTATGACCAACTAAAGGGATAAGGGCATCATCTGTAGCTTGTGTTTTAATCTTTTAAATAAAGTAAATGATATAATTAATTTATTGTATGTCCCTGGTAGCAACAGCTACTCAGATTTGGATTTCTTTTTTGTTAGATCCATTTTTAGTACATATGTTGGAGATATTGGCCTATAGGTTAAAGATTTAATATTATTTCAAATTCCTGGTTAACTTTTCACTCCCATCTTTTATTTTTCAAATCTTAGTCTTTGTAGTAAGTATTCTAATATTACTTACTGTAGGGAAACTGAGGTGGAAGCAGTTTATGTTTAGAGTAAGATTACTGCACTGCAAATTCAGATAGGCAAAGGTTGTAACCTTTTGTTGTGTTTTCAAACCACTGCCCCTGCCTGATTACTAAGCATTTTCCATTGTAACCAATTAACAATAATAATAATACTACCACCACCACCACCACCAACATGGAAGCAGGTGTGCTCCTTTTTGCTTTAGTTAGCTTCTTTAGAGTTATTTTCAGCCTCATTCAGCCCTTCTTATTTTTTCATCTGAGCAAATCTCTTTTGATTTTTTTCTAAAATAGGTAAGTCAACACTTCCAGGGCTGGTGCACATTAGTTCACAGGAACATCCATGCTTGGGAGTTGAGGACATTGTCCACAATATTTATTCTTAAGTCTGTGTCAGCTACTGGTGAGGAATTTTAGATTGTGCCACAGCTCGAGACACTAAATACTGGGCAGAGCTGTGGCTGCTGCCACTTGCTCTGATACACTGTCCTCTGCTATTGGCATGAAGAATTCTTTTCTCTTAACCTGTTAGGTCTTTCTGTATTTTTCTCCCTTATAGAAAATTTTCCTAAAATGGTATTCTCATGGAGTGTATTTCTGTCCCTTTTATGTTAACAGATGCACATACTTAAGAAATTTGACCCTCTGGGGACATCATACTGAACAAATAAGTTTTGACATAGGAATTGTCTTTTATATCCATGTAATGGCAGTATATTGCTTGGCATATGATAGATGCTCTGCAGATGTTATTTGTCATGAATTATTGAGCCCCAAAGTTAATTAAATGAAGTCCTCTAATTAATAAATTTATATAGAACCATGCACTATGTTAGGTGAGGAAACTAAAAATATTGGTAAGCCAGCTATTAGGTTAGCAGATGCCTGTGCTGCCTGGAGATTCTCTCACACATATAGACTATTTTACCGTTATGGTAGCAGTCGAATTACGGAAGTAGTGTAGTCAAAAGGAGGGAACAGGTTAGTTATTCCTGGCAGGGAAGGGGATGGTGTTAAAAAAGGAGGGTGGTTGTCTGGCCATCAGATCTGACCTAATCCTTGAAGATGAAGAGGATGAAAAGGAAACTTTTGTTACTCTTCTCTCCGAATCTATTTGAAAGATAAAATAGGTTTCCTGTCTGACTTTAATATCACAGACATTTTGGAATGTTTGCTTCTTTTATGACCAGGTTTGTTTTACCCTGGGTCTCATACTCACTGTGTTTTCATGCCCTGTCTCTTAAGAATTACCTGAGGTTCCATTAATTGAGGAGGAAGTGGAAGAAACGGAGTCTTGGGCAAAGCCTCTGGTCCACCTTTGGCAGACAAAGGCTCCAAACTTTGTGGCTGAGCAGGAGTATAATGCAGCCATGGGCAGAATGGAACCACACTGTGCCATCTGTGCTCTCCTCATGCCATACTACAAGGTAATGAGGCTGGAGGGGTCATTGTCAAGGTTCCTATCACTGATGCACTCTTTCTGTGACTGTGAAAGCACAGTGAATCATTGTAAGGTAAGTATGCACATGAAAAGGAAGACATTCATATGTATGTAGCTAATGGCCATAGAGCCCAACCAGAATGTCTAAGTGCTACTTGAGAGACATTTCCCTGACAGTGAATTACCACTTTTGAATAAATGATTGGCTTACTTATTGGCCTTGGTTTATTTCGGTCAGGGGGCAGTGCCAACCTTTCTTTCCACCCCTTTCACCAAGAAACATAGAACTTAAAGCTTAACAAGAGAGATCTAGTCTCTGTTTTATGCTTGAAAATATCACTCTCAATAATATAAATGTTAGCTCTGGGACCACATTTAAGTGTCTCTTTATCTTCCCATGCAAAAGACACCACAGGATTAAATTCAAACTGAATTGTCCAGCATACACTCATCAGCCAGCTGTGCATGATGCCAGCTATGCATGATGTTTTCAATAACATTCCATATCCGTTATACTGATGGCATTTAGCTCCCCGAGGACCACATTCTCCAGCTCCAACACAGACAAAATGATCTCTAGGAATCTAGTAAGGATGATGTAACAACATGATCTATTTTAAGGTGCAATAAAGTGTATTGATGTTAACATTGTGTTCTGGGTTATATTTTCACTAATTGAATCAGAAATATTCTCCTTAAGATCCATGTAAAGTAAATGCTTTTCTGTTCAGATGTTTCAGAGCATGAAAATGTGTGAAATCTCACATTTTCAGACCTTTGTAAATAGGAAGTAGGTTACTTGCTCATCTTTTAATGTGGCCCTGGTGAGTGACAAACACTTTTGTTTTCCTTTTAAGTCATTAAATTTCTGTTTTCTTGGAAAAACAACCTTTTATTGATTCTTATTTCTATATCGTAATCTGCCTATATATTTCCCCAATAATTAAAACATTCTCACAGAAATTATAAGATTTAGTGAAATTAATATCAGATCTTTGGGGATAATACGATAGTTATTAGAATTTCAAATAAACAGTAAACATTTTCCATACATTTTGATAAGAGGTGACAATTTTGTTTTGTACATTATATTTTTTATTTAATGACAGTTGCCAGATGTTTCTGTCTTGATGTTTTCAAACTTTGTCGAGAAACAGAAGCCTTCAAAAACTCTCTCAATACTTTTGCACAGACTTAAGCTTAGGTCTTTATAACATTCCTGTTAGGTGTAACTGGGTAAGATTCTTCAGTAAATGAAACCAGTTCTGTTAACCAAGTGCAAATAAAGAAATGAAAAAAAATTCATCAGAAAAACTGATGCTTTCCATGAACTATTTATGTAAGAACATAGTTTTAGTAGCTCAGTACTTTCTTGTAGAAGCAGATGCACAGAGTATCTTCTTGTTCCTATAGCTTAGCACCTGATGGGAGCCTGAGGCGGAGCATTAGGAAAAAGCTAGTAGTTGGGTCAAGGAGAACAAAAAGAAGAACAGGAGCTGAAAGTTAGTGGATGGAACAGCTGTTAGTAGATTTGAGTGGCATAACAAATGAGTTCATTTCCATGTTTTTCACTCACGTGGAAATATTGTGTCTTTCAGCCAGATAGCAGCAATGAAGAAAATGATTCTAGATGGGAGACAAAATTAGATGACATGGTTGCTTCCGGAGGAAAGACTAAGCCCCTCATTCCAGAGATGTGTTTTATTTATAGTGAAGAAAATATAGAATATTCGCCACCTAATGCCTTCCTGGAAGAGGATGGGACAAGCCTTCTGATTTCTTGTGCAAAGTGCTGTGTACGGGTTCATGCAAGTAAATGAATCTCTCATTCATCAATCATTGGCTTTTTAGTGCTTCACAGTCTTTACTTCTTACCCCTATGTAACCTGCCAGGTCTTTGGCATCGAACTATTGGTATATTAGATCATTTTTTCTCGCATTTTAAAAAATGAAACTATGAGTAGGTATAATCATTCTTTTTTCTCCAGTTTTATACAATACCAAATCACAGGGGTTCTCTTTGTCAATGTAGTATGAATGGTTTATAATATAATATACACTGTATTTACCCCAGTGTAATACCAATCTTACATTATGTTTGAGATAGTCTTACTGTCTGTCATGTATTTATTAATCAGCTACTATTATCTTCCCCCAAGTATTTGAACATAATCTTCTTGAAATATAACTATAGCAACCTTCTTATTGTATTTATATCAATTCATAACATGTATCCACACATACACTCACCCTACATTGTTATATGTATATCAGAGGCAAAGCATCATTTCACAAAAAAGCTAGGATTTTAATTTTGACTTCTGAATATACTAGCCATGCAGTTTAACCATAATATTTCATGTGCTTGAACTAAACATTTTATGATTTTGCTTAACTATGATAGGCTTTTCTCTTTGGGTAATTACACTTCTGTTATTTTCTCTTCCTATCTCAAATTTTATAGAAATGTGATATTAAAAATTACTCATTTAAATCTTTGAAAACCTTATTTCAAGAAGTCAGATTAACACATTCGTTGGTTTTGCATAATTGCTATTTGTGTTAGCATCATCAGCTACCTCCTTACATAGTTCTTTTGAGTCAGGCATGTACAGAATAGACAAGTGGAATTGAACACATCCCTTTATCACTAAACATGAATTGTGTATCCTCTGTCCCTATCACTAAAATTAAAGCTAGTTAAACATAATATTTGAAATCTAATTTTAAATTACATTAATTTTTAATATTGTCAAAGTTTGTTTTATTTTAAAACTTCTCCAAACTTTGTTTCCCGAATTGCAACTTATTTTGAAATATGTTTTGCATGAGTAAAGGAGTAGACAAGAAAGTTTAAAGTTTTATTATTGCCCATTCAGGAATTATCAGTATTCTCTACAATACCTATTGTGAGCATTAGTTACTGTTAATACCCACACTCTCATATTTTCTGGAACTGATACCCATGAGAACCAAAAGTATCTTTGTTTTGTTCTAAGAATCAAAAACTGTAGGGTAGGTAGTGTCTTTTATTTAATCAGTGCTAACATGTGGAATATTGTCACAATGCAAAATACCTAATTCTTTAATCCATATTAATATTTTATAGGTTGTTATGGTATCCCTTCTCATGAAATCTCTGATGGATGGTTATGTGTCCGGTGCAAAAGAAATGCATGGACAGCAGTAAGTAGCTTATGTTAATATCTCTTAGCTCTTCTCACTTCCTCCACTGTGGATACATTTAAATCTAGTGGTAAGGTAAGATTATACACATGCTTTTGTGTACAATTCTACACTTACTGTATTTCTAGTCTTCTCTTTCTATGTCATCCTACGTGTTGCTTTTAGTCATTGTAGAAATATTAAATGAAGTTTTAGGTGTCACTTCTTATCTCTGGAACCCACAGAGATTGCCAGTTGTCAGAGCAGGTCCAAAATATTGTCCTATTCTGCAATTCTTGAAAATAAGTATTCAAGGTGGGGATCTTCTCTGAGGAAACCATACTCATACATAACTCTTCAACTAGCCCGAGGACTTCCCCATCTATTTATTCTTATATGCATACTTTGAGTTCTACTCTTTTTGAGTTCTACTCTTGTTCCAGGCATTTGCTGTGACCTTGAGACAGAATCTTCAACAACAAATCCCTCTTCATTGAAATTGTTTTCCTGGAAACCCTGTTGAAACTTTAGCTTATATCCTAGCATTGAGTCCTATTTCATTAATCCAGTATGTCACTCATTTTGCCATTTAATTATGTGCTACCCGAATTTTTCATAAAATCGTTTCTTTCAAGAGGTGCAAGAACATTCTTGAAAGGGAGAATCTGTCAGGTCTCAACACCATATCCCTCACTCTCGATCTTAGAGCATATGCTCAGCTTGATGGTGTTGATGATAACAGTAGCAATTGCTCTCCTCCTCAGTGAATAATGACAATGAATTAAACATCCTTGTAACCAGAGTTAAAAACCTGAAGGACAATATAAGGAAAATGCCTTGCAAATTTATGTCATGATTATGTATGTTTAGCTCTCATTGTTGAAATAGACATATGGTAACTGTAAATTAAAGTTGTCTGTGGGGATGTTGTTTGAATACTTTTTTTGCTGGCATTCACCTTGGCTAGTGAGGGGGAAATGGGTGAAAATGTTCAAGTAATCTGATACATTTGATGTAGAGCAGCGGTTCTCAACCTGTGGGTCTCGACCCCTTTGGCGGTCGAACGACCCTTTCACAGGGGTCGCCTAAGACCATCCTGCATATCAGATATTTACATTACGATTCGTAACAGTAGCAACATTACAGTTATGAAGTAGCAACGAAAATAATTTTATGGTTGGGTCACAACATGAGGAACTGTTGTTAAAGGGCCAGAAGGTTGAGAACCACTGTGTTAGAGGTTATATCTTCAACTTAAGAGGTCTTTTCATTAGTGGGTTCAGAAAACATGTTGGTATTTCCTTTAGTGTGATCATTATGTTAACAAAAACTATGTAGCCCTGGATGGTTTGTCTCAGTGGTTAGAGCACCGGCACTTGGTCATAGTTTGATTCCTGGTCAAGGGCATGTACCTCAGTTGTAGGCTTGATCCCTGGATTGGTTGCATGCAGGAGGCAACCAGTCATTATGTTTCTCGCACATAGATGTTTCTCTCTCTGTGTCTCCTCCCTCCTCTCTCCCCTCTATTCTTGCTTAGAAAATAAATCAATGGAAAAACTATCCTCAGGTAAGGATTCAAACAAACAAATAAACAAAAAACTATGTAAATGCAGAGCATCTATAAATCAGCCAGGAAGTCCTATAATAAATGCATTCGACTCTTATTCCCATTGTAGGCACCAAAGCAAAGCCTTGTAAAATCTGTTTGACCAGGGATATCTTCTTCTTTACCCTCAAGTGTAGATTTAGAGATATGCTAATCCAGGTCACCAGGCCGAGAAGAGTTCTCTGTTGGATCCTTGGTTGTTGCTTGGTACCTGTGCTCTCACATCGAGCAGTCCTATATTTATTCAAGGTACCAGTGTTTTCTGCATGGCAGAGCAGGGCCAGAGCTAGGCCACTCACCCTGATTCCAAGGCTGCTTCTGATTAATCGTATTGTTTTCCTTAAACGTGTCATAAGAAGGAAATTGATTTAAAACATCTTTCTATTAATCTTCACCCCTCAACACCCTCAGAATATACAGTAAGCCTTTTGTAATTTAATATTGATATCATGTAAGTATTTCAATTTGCATGGAAATGAAACTCTTGAATAGAACTTTACAATGATCATTTAGACCCACATATTTTCTTATTTCTAACTGGAAATAATTCAGACTCACAGTGAACCAATTGTTTGTTTTGATTTATCAATTTTGAGTGTACTTTGTCTATGAAGCTTTATTTTGAAATTTTTTTCTCCTGAGAAATAGTTGAATTGAGTTTAAGCACTACAGAGAAGTAACTGATAATATTGATATTTTAGGCTTTAACACCCTTATTTAGTGTGGTAATATGTGTTGAAATATTAATTTTTGCTAAACACAAGTATGATTCTTTGGATTTTGTGGCTGGAATGACTGCATTTAAAGTATCCTAATCCTGACTTCTTCTTTTTAAAAAAAGGTATCTTTATTATTGAAAGTATTACAGATGTCCCTTTTTTCCCCCATTGACCCCCTTCCATCCTGCCCCCTGCGCTTCCCCTCACCCCCGCCCGGGCCTTCACCACATTATTGTCTGTGTCAATGGGTTATGCATATAAATTATTTGGTTACTCTCTTTCCATCCCCTGGCCTCTCCTGCTCTCTGAGATTCATGAGTCAGTTGCATGTTTCTATGTCTCTGGATCTATTTTGTTTGTCAGTTTATTTTGTTCATTAGATTCCACATATAAGGGAAATGATGTGAAACTTTTCTTTATCTGAATGGCTTATTTTGCTTAGCATAATACTCTCCAGGTCCCTCCATGTTGTCTCAAAGAGTAAGAGATCCTTCTTTTTAACAGCTGTATAGTATTCCATTATGTAAATGTACCTCAGCTTTCTTATCCACTCATCTGCTGATCGGCATCAATAATGTAAATTTTGGAAGCAAAGGCATCATAGGGATTATTTCATCTAACCCCAGACAATTAATAAGTAAGTGAAGTCATATTAGATTTGTCAACGTCCTCCTGGGCAAGTAGCTGAGGATGTATGTAAGGCTGGAATCAATGCTCACAGACCAGTTGTCTTTTTACTTACCAATTCTAAAGAGTGGGCATCACTCTGGACCCTAGTGCTCTGCTTGGAGGTAAGAACTTAGTCTTATTTCTGAACTGGTAGAGCATAAACTAGGAAGGTTGTGATCATAATGATGTGGGCCAGGCCTTTATCTGTGACCTTGATTGCTTTCACCATTTCCAAAGTTTTGGTTTAGTGCTCACTGTTTCACTTTGCTACCATTTCTTTACTTTATCCATTCATGTCAATTAAGATAATAAAGGAGAAGCTGTATTGCAACTTCATGTGTTGGACAAAGAGAATAGTTACAAATTTTGGGTTACACCCTAACTTGAATTCTAGGATCCTGGCTTTATGCCCCAGTTCAAGTGAAATGAAATGAAACAGTCCAAGACATCCCTGCTTCCCTCACCAATACCTTTCTATCATGAGATTCAGGTTGTATATTCATCATCCTAACTAAAATCATTTCTTTGGGCCTATTTGTCCTATTTTATTTTTATTTTTTTTAAGTCTACAGCACCCGGTATTCCCAGGCGGACTCCCATCCAAGTACTAACCAGGCCCGACCCTGCTTAGCTTCTGAGATCAGATGAGATTGGGCGCGTTCAGGGTGGTATGGCCATAGACTATTTGTCCTATTTTTGTACTGCTCAGATAAATAGACACAACTATGTGAATGCTATGCTTGCATTTATGGTTTATTAAAACCCAGCTTTAGTAGATTATTTTATTTTCAGCTATTTGTTTTCTTCCCTTTTGTGGCTATATAATTCATAGTGGAGCAGTTTTTACTCCTTCATTATAGTATCACTTCTGAGCACATTCCAAACATTACCTAGTTCTGTTTTTAGGTGTCGAATGTCAGTATTCTGATTCTGTGTTTCTTGTTAATTCTTAATGTGGATCAAATCACTTTTGACCTAAATTACTGTAGTTTATGTCTAATTTGTTAATTGAATTCCATGGTGTAATGACTATAAGTTACTACCGATTAAAAACATAGTGCTAATATTTTCACTGTAAAAATGCAGAATTTGTATTATTTTCTTTGAGGTTTGTCCCCACCATTTTCTTTTTTATCCCTACATTAAAAATGTTTAAGACTGGGTATTTCTGTAAAATACAGAATACTATTTTAGGGCTATATTTCTAATTATGAAGAAAGATGTTAGTTAAATGTCTAAATACTTCTAAAAATTAATAACCCATATGCTTAATACTATGTAGAGCAGTGGTTCTCAACCTTCTGGCCCTTTAAATACAGTTCCTCATGTTGTGACCCAACCATAAAATTATTTTCGTTGCTACTTCATAACTGCAATGTTGCTACTGTTATGAATCGTAATGTAAATATCTGATATGCAGGATGGTCTTAGGCGACCCCTGTGAAAGGGTCGTTCGACCGCCAAAGGGGTCGCGACCCACAGGTTGAGAACCGCTGATGTAGAGTATTAAGAGGTAGCATGCTATTTAAAAACAAGAGGATTTTCTATAATATCTTCTGAAGAACTTATAGTATAGAATTCTAGAGAGTAAATAAATATAAACAGATTTAAGAGGTTAAGGAATATTGATAAGGTTTATTTTTAAAAATTTTTGGGATAATGTAGCTCTTTGGTGTTAGTTTCTTTCCAGATAATTTAGTTCTTTCTTTAGGGATCTTTTGGGGTGGGGGTCTGTGAGATTTTGGGTTATTGCCATAGATGGGAGTGAAAACTGAATGTACAGATCGGACACGTATCATGGGAAGTCACATCATACGCAGATTTATGACTGTGACAAATCATGAGTTGCCAGTCTTCTGTACGTGGCAGCATTAAGCCTGTGCTGTAGTTTTTCATTGTCAGTGTGAAGAATTCCAAATAAAGTTACCATTTGTTCTGTGTCTTACTAGGGAGCTCTTTTATTACCTTAAATAATTCTTCGGGGGTGGGCAAGGCAGATGCAGTAGATCACATACCTATAATCTAAA